CTCATAAAAATATCTCATTTCCTATATGCAAAAATTAAAACTTAAATGTATTTATATAAAGCCTTCCAACTGCTTAAACAAACATCCATAATGTATCTTCCCATGAGCAAAAGCACCACGGTTAGTGCAGAGATCCTGGCGATTTGCAAATCAATATGTTTGAATGGCAATACTACCCATGGAGGAGCAGACTCCTCTGGGGAGGGAAACCAAGGCATGGCAGCAACTCAGGCAAATAACATTAAAGACTAAATACGACTTGCCCAGAAGCTTTAAGCTGCTGTTTGAGCCTCTTATTCCCCATGCACCTTCCTCACCACCTCTGTGCACAGGCCCCATCTGTCTCTGCTGGGGTCTGGAGCACGGGACGCAGCATCGCGGTGCCAACGGGAGCGGGGCTGGTGCCTGGAGAGCCCTCCGGTGCAACGAGCCCACCACCAACTACACCCCCCACCGGGTCCTCCTTCATTGACTGTTCCAAGAGAGCCAAGTGGAGGAGTCTGGTGAGAACGGGCAGGAGCCGAAACCTGGGTCTACTCTTACCCAATGGGAGTCACAGGGGCTGATGCCCAAACCCTCTCCTGCAAATGCAAAGTCTCTGCTCAGCTGAGCTGCAGCTCAGTTCATGCATCATTATCCGAAATGCTCAGTGTCAGCAGATGACTTCAAAGTGCCTTTGAGTCATGTTTGCAGAAGTAGGAACGGGGTTAATCGTCAGGAATGTTGCTGCGAAGGAGTGGAGCTGCTCCCAGCTGGCAGCCATTGTCTTGAGTCCATTATCCCTTTAGTGAGAACTGCAAGGAAAATCAACAGCCTCCAGGAAAAGAGACCATTGAGAGGAAACTGGTTTGAAGGAACAAGCTTTTTTGCTCTTGAATTGAAATGAAAGAAAATAAATGAGATATTCTTCTCGCAGATAAATCATTCTAACCGTTATTTGCTATTCATGGCTGCGTGCAGAGGAGCCACCGCAGAGGCCGCGCTCTGCCCTGCAAGGAGGGGAGGACGCAGCTGCCCCGTCATGCCGAGCCCGCGCCCACGCTTCCCCTCAACACCTCCCTCGCTGCGAGTAATGTCAGCATCACGGAAAGACTGATCCTTTCCCAGGGTCTGGCGCACTCCAAGCACCAGCCAAAACTAAGGAAACCCGTGTCCTTCAGAGCATGGACAACACTGCTGGGACGCGGCCACTGGGAAGAGGTTTGTGGAGACGCCTGATCTCCTTCCTCCACACCAGCAGTCTCACTAGCTCTCAGCAAACTGACCCATGGTCGATTCCCAATTTAGGTGTCAAATAATCAATTTCAGGGCATACAAGAAGGTCCGAGCGCTGCCTTGGTGCTGCTCCACATTCCGCCTGAAGGCCTCCAGACGGGAACCAGACCGAGCAAGTCCCGGTGTGGTGGTAGAGAGGCTCCTTTGATGCCTCTTCTAGTAATAGAAAAGTTTCTCATAAGATATATGAAATGAGGGTCTTAAGACTTTGGAAAAAACTATTAAAAGGGAAAATTTAAAGAAAGTCACAAAAAGCTGCTACATAGGTCAGTTTTAAAGCATGAGCCCTTCAGTACAGGCACCAGCAGCACCAAGATGTCACCTGTCCGTGCGCAGGCAGGGGTGACACCGTACGGGCCAGCCCCGAGCATGGCGGCTGCGCACGAACCAGAGCAGCTCGACCACCACGGAGAGCTTGCCCGCACATGCGGGTGATTACCTGTGAGAAGCGTCCCTGCAGATGGAGCTGCTGGCAATGAAAACAGCCTGCAAGGTGTCCCCAGTGCCGTCCACCCCAGCCTGCAAACTCTTGTGTCGTCTTTGACCATCTTTGATGACTTTATAGTGCAGTTAATGCCCCCCCTTCCCAGCGTGGTGGTGGACCTGACGCGAACACCTGCAGAGAGGGTGACGTGGGCGCCGCCGCTAACGCGCTGGGAGTGTTGTCTACCGATGCGGCTGCCGCCCTCGTTGCGTCTGCAGCCTCCGCGGGCCGTCTGCGCCCACCCGCCCGCTCAGCTGCTCCCTGCGCCGGCTCTGCCTCCCGCGGTCGATGGCATCTCACCCATGGAACCGCTTCCCCACGCCACGCTCCCGCCAGGCATCGACAGCAGCCGGGGAGCAAGTCCTCCTCACCAGTACTGGATTTAAGCACGCTACCCATCTCTTTCCCCTTCAAGTTGGCTATATCTCAAGATTGTGCTTTTGGTAGCACAATGTCCTTTCTGGACCGTTTGGTAAGTGCCAAGACTTCTCTGTCCATTTTGAAGCGAAACAGAACTGTTCTTTTCTAACAAATGTTTCTGTGCACTTCCATTTCAAATGGTCTGTTGCAATCCATTGGGAAAGACCTATAGGAAATGCTGCTGCCTGCAGGTCCTCAGGGGAAGCAGGGAGGGAAAATGGCTGGCAGTTTTACCCAGTCACTTTGTCATTGCTGCCAACCTGAGAAATCAGCTTCCTCACTTCGCAGAGCAAGCCCACCAGCACTGAAGAAGGGAGTTAATTTTGATTTTTCTTAAATTCTTAAATGTCAGGTATGAATTGCATTTCAACATCATTACCCTGGCAAAAGTTTAAAGTAGGATATATATACTGCTGCTAAAAGCTACACACCATAAACTCTGAGTAGTTTTGCACACTCTTCCCATTCAAACCAGCCCATCAACCACAGACCTAAGATCTCGCATTACTGCCACCCAGCAGGTCCTGCAGTTCCATGCTCTGTAGCTATCCCCTCATGGCACTTGAGAACGATGCATCCAGGAGCAAACACTATTTCACAGCCCAAGAGTTGAGGAATCACCACAGAAAACGTGGCATCTATCCCGTTCCAGTGACATGAGCGCCCGGAGCAGCCTGCACGGTCCCAGAGAGCCCACTCCAGGCATCTGCTTTCCTGCAGGGAGGCACCAGCGCCCTTAAGGCATGAAAAGAAATAGGAGTTGAGTCAACCTGCAAGCTGCAGGGAGCAGCCTTGGGCAGGCTGAGGTCTTCTCTGCCATGGGCTGATCATCAAGGACCAGTGTCACAGCAAGGCAGGAGAACGGCCAGCCAAAGGACACACACATCAGCATCCCCTTGGCAGGGGCAAGTAGGGAGCAGCAGCACAGTGTCTCACTGAGATACCAAATCTTAGCAGCAAAGGCATGTCAAAAATTAAAACAAAAACAAAAAAACTTCATGTTATTTCTAAGTGAATCTTAAGGCACAGAGATAAAGTAAATATTAAATAAAGTGCATTTATGATTACCACACACCTTCTTAGGTGAAGTCCTCAGATGCTACTACTGACATCTCCATCACACCCAGCCCTTCCTGTAGGACACCCAGTCCCTACACAGCAAGGCTCACAAGAATGTGATTCACATGTCCTGGCATAAGGAAGACACAGGGAGCTTCCAGATTTGCTGCCTGAATGTTCTTATGCCACGAGACAAAATCTGCATGAGTCAAATCTGAACCCTAACAACAATTTGTCTCTTGTTTCTGCAGCTCTGCAAAAGGAAGTCAGGGAACCCACTTCTTCCCCGAATAGTTTCACCTGGTGGGACAAGTCCTTTGGGAGAATGTTTCTTTCCCTTCTGCTTCACACCTGTGGCTCCATCTAGCTCACCTGCTGCTGTTTTAAATGTTAACAGAACCTTGCTGCCCTTCCCTGCCTTCCTGTTGAGGAACACATGTGGCCGAAAGAGAAGACATCTGCATAGCACCCTGCAGACCTGTGTTCCTGTAATACATAGCAAGGAACTCTGGAAACCACCTCTAATGCTACGTTCTTCTTAAACAGTGTCCAAAGCACATCTGCACTTTCTCTCACAGTACAGGATCTTCTAGGCATGGGCCACCTGCCATGAGGTGGAGCCTCCCACATCACCGCTCCCCGATGCCGGAGCCCCGATTCCGCACTGCGTGTCCCAGGAAATGAGCCAGGATCCGTGCGGGGCCGAGGACACCCTCACACAGCCGCATGAGCAGGGCTCAGCCCGTTAGACCCACGGAGCTGCGCGCGTCTCCTGGCGATGCCGCCCTGATTCTGGTGCCTCTCCCTGTGCCTCCTTCCAGCCACGGCTCCCCGCACGCTGCTGGCCCTGGCCTCGGAGGAACCAGCACAGACGCTGCGTGCAGGCTCACTCCTACTGCGAGGAGGGTGAATCCTCTGGTGCTTCCAGGGCACCCTATTTCCATTTCCCTTAATTTCTTGAATGAGAAACAAGGTGGAGGGATCACTGCACTGTCCAGGGAACAGCAATGCAAGAGGGCATCCAGCCAGCATGTGCCCAGGGACTGGTCCCTCCAGCACTCCAGCTGTGCCAGGGCAGAGTGCCCGCAGCTGCAGAGCCAGGGGCTTTGGGGTGCCTCTCCTGCCAGGCGTGCAAACCCCAGGCACGCAGTTCACACCTTCCTGTGACACTATCTGCCTTCTCCACACACACCAGTCCTTTCCAATACCTGCAGTTAATCCTTAAAAATGCCTAGGTCACTGCCATGAAGCGTGGGGGATGCAGGACATCAAGAGCACTTGCACATGTGAGTCCTACCAGCAAAATCCCAGTGCGCACACAGGGGTTAAAGCCAGGAACAAGGCAATGAGCTGGTGTGCAAAGCGAAGGCACGCTGTCGCGGGAGGGACAGCGCGCTCCTCAATGTGTGTCCGTTATTGTGCTCGCAAATAAAGCATCTCTTCAGCTGCCCCATCATGTGCTCCTCCTCCTCCTCCTCCTCAGCAGCCCGGGGAAAGCGGCCCTGCGCCCCGCAGCGCCCAAAAAAACCCCGCCCAGCTCTGGCATCCGCTCCCACGTTGGCACCCGGCTGCCCTGGCTGCTCGGCCTCGGCTTGGGCGGCTCCGTGCGCTCCCCAGCGCCGTGAGCGCGGCCAGCGGGGAAGGCTGAGACGTAGCAAACCATGGTGTTCTCTCTGTGACAGACCACGTCTCATTGGGACAGACCCTCTGTGCTAAACATTCTACCATTGCTTCAAGTTCCTGGGCTCGACTCCAGCCTTACCTTGGTATGGAGTTTGGCAAACTGCTTGTCATCCAGCAGGCTCTGGGTGTACACACGCCTCTTGTACCGGAACTGCAAGAGGGAAGAACGGCAGATACATGAGAAGAGCAGAACCCTCTGTCACCATCAAACCTCCTGAGCTACTGCAATATAGGACGTCCTGCAAGAAGACATTCTGTCTACATCTGAATACGACCACAGACAGAAAATCAACTCTTTCATAGTTTTTTTCTGTTAGTTAATCACTTTCCTCACAAAAGAATTCTGACCAGTTTTTCATATGAATCTGTGGTTTCATTTTTCAAAACATGTGGAGCTTGTTCTGTTTGTTCTGCTTCTCTCCAGTAAATTAGGGATCTCTCTAATAGCATTTTTTTTTTCTCCCTGGGAAAGTTTTTACACAAGTAGTCTAAACCTTTCTCTAAGCAGTTTGAACTCGAAGGCCCTCATGGAAGAATCTTTTTTCAGGTCATTTCTGCTACTCTTTTCTATGTCATTCCTCTTTTCAATTTTCTTTCAACCACATTGACTTTCCCCCAACCCTGCTCCAGCCTCTTCCATCCCAAGCCCTCCTGAAACAAACCCACCGCTTGCCAGTGTCTGCACTGAAGGACTACAAGACACTGTGTTTTGCCACAGCATCACACTGGGATTCGTTTTGGCTTGCTTGACCAACAGACTCAAAAATTTTTCTTCAGAAACTGTTACCCAAAATGAGAGCTCCTCCTTTGCAAACAGTGCTTGCAAACACACCGAGATCCCTCGTGTAGCCATATCAAAGTTGATGTTGGTCCCTAAGACACTGCACTGGAATCACCTCTATGCTGTTATGATTCCAATGACAAATGCTGTTAATCACTCGTTACTTAGCCAGTAGCACGTTCTGCTGACAAATACAGTGCTAGCCCTGAATCTGAATATCACTTAGAACAAAATCAAGCACCTCAAAATCCTAACTACACTACGTTTATGTAGCTATCTTTATCAAGCACAAATATGATTTCCTTAAAGAATCAAACTGTATTTGTTTGATGAGATATTTTTTTTAAGCATTAGTTGTATTGCTAAATTTTTAATTTGCTAGGAACTTCCATTGTTTTGACTTGAACTGGTCAAAATTGTCTTTGCTTTAATGTAGCCAAGTTCATCTCATTTGCTTTTCAATATTGGCAGAAAATCAGCATATTTTCAGTCTTCTAAAATGTCCTTTGTTTTCCAAATCTTATTACAAACTCGTATTGTTGGGTGGATATTTCTGAACACACTTTTTTCAGTAGTCCAAGGTAAAAACTGTCAGGCCTGCGGATGTGCAGACGTTCATCTCTCGCAGGAGCTGCCGGGTGCCAGGGCTCACATGCATCCCTGTGTCGCACAAACGCACTCTGGGCAGCTCCTCTTCATCCTCTGGCACCACATCACAAGAGGTTGCAGATGACTCCGCTCCAAGCCTCGCTCTGCAGGGCTCTAGCCAAGGAGCGGCAGCACTTCCCTCCTGACCATTGGCTTTTGGACTCCTGTGTGAACACCCTGGTCCAGGAGGGATTGCAACAACCCCTGCTGCTCTCCCAGCCTTCAGCAACCTCGTGCAGTTCCCCAGGTCCCAGCTGCAAGTTGCCACCCACGGTGCAGTTGCGGCCAAGGCTGTTGCACCAGTGGCAGGGGGCAATGCCCAACTGCTACCCAGGGGCAAGGCAAAACCGCCCTCAGAAAAGAGAGAAACTGTCCAGCACAGCTCTCTGCTCGCACTGAGACAGTTAGACTCTGAAGAACAGAACTTTTGGAGATGGTCACAGCCAGACAGCTTTGCTCTGCCCGATCACAGAGGGTCTGGATTTGCACAGGGGGACACAGACCTGCGGATTTTGAAAATCCCTTTCAAAGTTACAAGGTGCATGAACTGAACAGGCAGTACTCAATAACAGCTAGAATACTACTGGCTGCATACAAAGCAAAATACAAAGCAACAAATGCATTCGCCTGGCCACTGTCATTGCTGCTTCATCCTGCTAAGGAATCTGGAGCACCCACAGGGATCTGCAGCAGGGGGTGGAGCCGGCACCTCCCGCTCCAGGGAGCTCCTGCAGGTACCTTTTTTGTAACTCCATGTTTCTTCCATCATTATACACAAAATCTCATTTATCTGATGACTTTCACGTGCAGCCCTGAGGACTAATGTTATCTCTGGGGCTCAAGAAATCTCACTGGTATCAGCATAGCATTACTGTCCCGTAAATAGGTTCTGGAATATTCATTTTCAAACACAGTTCTCAAGTGGTCACCTTCCTTTCTTATCAAGTCATGAAGAATCAATGTGACCCATAACAAATAGCCATGTCAAATCTGCATTTAGATATCAAATATGGACGTTATGCTAAATCCTACAAAAACAAAACATTAAAGCCTATATGAGGAACATTAGGGAATTTACTACCTCCTAAGATTATTTGTAAGCACTCTTAATGTTGCTCCAAATGTTTCTGTGTATATTAAATGTTTGCTTGCTAAGAAATTGTGTATTACTCTCTTTCCAAATTAGGCAGGATTGGTTGTAACAACTGCTTTCACGTTTGCATTTATAAGAACACACACAGTTTAACTATTTAATGATTCCTAACTGTTTGTTGCTTCCTAAACAGACTCTGTGGATACAATACAGCAATGAGATCCCTAAATACAGAGGTCCTTAAACAGGTAGCTGAAGTCCCATTATAGTCAATGGGGATCTCTGCAGCAACAGGCAACAGAGCCTCTTCACCCCAAAACAGACATTTGAATGACGGAATCCTAGCCCAAGACAAAACTTATACTGTATGTTGGCAAAGAGTTAATTCTGTTAATTTAATTAATTTCTGCTCCAGAAAATTTAGTTACTTTCTGTAGCAGAAAACAAAATGGAGTGAAATAACATTTATCCTGCATGTGCATCACAGAAATGGGGTCCATACAGGAACAGTCAATTGCTGTCAAAGCACTCAGTTGTGTTCTGGACTCTGCATTAACTGCAAAATAAGTAAAATATTAAATTCAAGCCCTTCAGCCACTTATTCAAATGTCTCCTTAGGATTTTCACTCTGTACCTTTGGCAGTGACTTTCCATCTATAGATTTCAAATTCCTATGACAGTTATGACAGGATAAAAATAAATTTTGATCAACGAGGTCAGGCAATAGGGAAGCAGTTTGGCAGAGCTACGGCAGCTGTTGTGGTGCTCTCTACCAGACCACCAAACTAGCGCTCAGAAGCCTTTGCCTCAGCTTCACTCTGCGAATTCTTTGTGAATAAACACGTACACCCACAGCAACCTCCATGCTTTCACTTTTGGAAATGTTAAAACAGGGAGTCTGGGGATCTTAACATCTGTGGTGGAAACTGCAATGGCAGGGATCATTAAGTTCTATGCATACATATGTGTATATATATGTGTGTGTGTACATTTGTTTATATATTCATATACGCATACTCATATGTGTGTGTATATAATAAGAGAAGCAGACAGCTACCTCCAGGTAGGGAACGGGGGTGTCTGGGTTCAGGGGATACTCCCGCAGCAGCCGCTCCTCATCCAGGAACTTCCCGGCCCTGCCGTTGAAGGCGGGCTGGAAGAGCCCATAGTTCAGCACGTCCTTCAGGCTGTGGTTCAGGATGCAGAGGATGCGCTGCTTGGAAACCCATACGGGAACGTCTGGATTTAGCCGCAGACACTTCTATGGAGAGAAGGAGAGGGTGATTAGAGGTGAGAGTCATCAGGGCCCTGTAAACCATAACCTTGTCCAGGAACCATTCTAGGGATAACAAGGGGAAGGATGCGAAGATGGGAAAGCCACATGTTTTCCATGTCAGCTGATGAGTGGAGGAAAAAAAAAAATTTCTACAATTAGAGACTTATTGAAGTCTCTACAGGTAAAACTTAGGGTAAGACTTAGCATATTCTCCTCTAATCATTTGGTGGGGCTCAGGGCAGGCTTGAACCCTATATTGTATAAAATCCCACAAAATATGGGCAGTCCTGAAGAGTACTGCATGGCAGTGCTAGCAGTATTGACAATTAATGACAATGTAATAGCAACACTCCATTTAAATATAATAGCAACAGTCTATTTAAACACCTTCTGACAGGTGTCAGGAGTCTCCTGGACACTGCACAAGGTTTTCACAGGCATGCAAATAAAGAAGTTGTAAAGCAAAGTCACTGTAACCCCTGTCGGGAGCACATGGAATCCAACAGCCCTCCAGTCACTTGGAGAAGAGACCCCAGCAAGGAAAACATCATTTGAGCTCTAAATATCATGCTACTAAACTCATCCCGTAGCACGCAGCGAGTTTCCCGTGCACTGCAAGCAGTTTCCCTCCCCACTCAGGACTCCTCCACACAGCACCAGAGCCCATCACCTCGGCGGCGTCTCCCCCAGCCCTTGCGGCGCTCCTGCACCCGAGGCTGCGCAGGGGACCCGGCTCCTCCGCGCTTGGCCGCGCGGTGCGGCCGCTTCGGCATCGCCGCCGCCTCCCGTCCTCGCCCAGCAGCAGCCGGCTCTGCACAACGGCCGGAGAAGCAGGAGGCTCCCACAGCAGCGATGCCGGAGGCCGTAACTGCAGCTCCCTCCTGTTTTATATTTGGCCTTTAACCCTCCCTCATAGCAGCCGGCTTATTCTCCCCCTCCTTCATTTTCTCCCCACTGTGCACTTTATGGAGGGGGAGAGGACAGCTCTTCGTTGTGCTTTAGCCTTTTAAGCTGATGCCTGTGAGTCTTGCTCAAGATTCCTGATTTTGTGCTGGCCGACAAAGCGAGCGCTGTCCCCTCCTTGCCTGCTTCCTGCCTCTCCCCACGGCTCCTCCGGGCTCGGAGCTCACCCGCTCCTGCCCATCCTCGGGATCTATCCGGCATGGGAACGGCAGCGCTGCCAGCAGGCGAGGCGCAGCCAGGGTTTCCCCTGGGCCGTGGCTGTGCTTTGCTCAGGAGCGCGCTGGGGAGCTGGGGCAGAGCACAGATGTTCACCTGGATTTTGGGAGAGAAGCGCGCAGAGACCCGCTCTGCAGCCTCTCCTCTTAGCTCTGCCAAGGAGCTCGAGCAGATTCAGCAGCGCATCTGCTCCCTCCACAACCTGCTGACTTCTCCCCGCAACAAGAGGGTGGGTTGGTTACTTCCTCCCCTTAAAAGCATCCGTTTGATTCTGTGAATCTGTGATTCTGTGAATCAAACAGGCACTAGTTTTTGAAAAAGTAGAGAAAAGCAAATGATCCTGCGGAGGTTCTTGGCAGGAGCTGGCAGAGCACCTTGCACAGCCCAGCAGGTCTGGGTGCCACCGAGCCCCCACTGCGCCACTGGAGACGGGGCCAGAGGACAACAGGAGCAGCAGCAGCTCTCACGGCAAGTTTTTAACTTCTGTTCGTAATCACGAGTGGTATTTTTTTTTCCCATACAATTATAAATTGTGATCACAACAATCAAAGCCTTAGAAACAACTCCTGAAAGAAAATGATACAGATTCTCCACTTTTAGACAGCACGATGACTCCTTCCCGAAGAAAGAGCTCACGGCTTTAGATTCAACCCTGAGCAATGCATGGGATGACAGACAAGATCTATTCAAGAGCAGCCCTGTAATAACGACAATAAAGAACTCAAACTCAACAATCCTGCATGAGCAAAAAAGCCAAAAAATATTCACCAAAGAGCACAAAAATGAGAAAGAGATGAAAGGAAATTAAAAGAAGCAGCTGAAAAGGCAATGTGCTTGCAGGCAGTAGGGAGTGTATTTCATTATATCACATTAGAGGCTCAGAGCTAAGGTATGGCAAAAATGAAAAACAAGCACTAAGAGGTCCCCACAAAAAGATAGAACAGTCAAATCAACAGAGCAAAGGAGGCTATTGAAAGTGCAAAGATTTCCCTTGCTAGAAGAAGAAAGTAGGAATTCTGAATGAGACCTGGAAACAGCATATCTCTGATTAGTTACATGCAAAATGACAATATTATTAAAGACACAAAAATTAGCAAATGTGCAGAAGTAGGCTGACGAGGCAGATGAGGTCAGGGAGTGATCCAGAGGCTGGAAGAGCCTCAGGTCCCTGCTGAGAAACAGCTCCTCACTGAATCATAAAAATCACACAACCATTATGGTTGGAAAAGACCTTCAAGTCCAATTGTAAGTCTGTCAACACCATGTCTGCTCGACCACATCCCTAAGTGCCTCATCTATATGTTTCTTGAACATTGCCAAGGATGGTGACTCCACCACTTCCCTGGGCAGCCTGTTCCACTGCTTGACTACTCCTTCCATGTAGAAATTCTCCTCATGTCTAACCTGAACCTCCCCTGGTGCAACTTGAGGCCATTTCCTCTTGTCCTATTGGTAGTTATTCTGGAGAAGAGATCGACCCCTGCCTCACTGCAACCTCCTTCCAGGTAGTCATAGAGAGCGATAAGGTCTCCCCGAGCCTCTTCCTTTCCACACTAAACAACCCCAGCTCCCTCACCCCCTCCGAGTAAGGTCTGTGCTCCAACCCCTTCACCAGCTTTGTTGCCCTTCTTTGGACATGCTCCAGCATCTCCATGTCTTTCTTGTAGTGAGGGGCTCAAAGCTGAACACAGTGTTCGAGGGGCGGCCTCACCAGTGCTGAGTACAGGATAATGATCACTTTCCTGGTCCTGCTGTTTACACTGTTCCTCATATAAGCCAGGGGGCAGCTGGCCTTCTTGGCCACCTGGGCTCACTGCTGGCTCATGTTTAGCTGGCTGTCAACCAACACCTCACATCCTTATCTGCTGCACAGCTCTCCAGCCACAGACTCAAGCCTGTGGAATCACAGAATCATTAAGGTTGGAAGGGACCTTTAGAGATCATCTAGTCCAACTCCCCTGCACACACAGGATCGCATCCAAGTGGGTTTTGGAGATCTCCAGAGAAGGAGATTCCACAACCTCTCTGGGCAACCTGTTCCAGTGCTCTGACACCCTGCTGCATTGCATGGAGTTGTTGTGACTGAAGTGCAGGACCCAACACTTGGCCTTGTTGAACTCCGTACAGTTGGCTTCAGCCCATCGATCCAGCCTGTGTAGATCCCTCCGCACAGAGCCTCCCTACCCTCAAGCAGATCAACTCTTCCTCCCAGCTTGGTGTTGTCTGCAAACTTGCTGAGGGTGCCCTCAACCCCTCATCCAGATCATTGATAAAGATATTAAAGAGGACCAGCCCCAAGACTGATCTCTGGGGAGCACTGCTCGTAACTGGTCACCAGCTGGATTTAACTCCATTCACACAGACTCTCAGAATGGTTGAGGTTGGAAGAGACCTCTAAAGTTCATCTAGTCCAAGCCCCCTCCTCAAGCATGTGGCACAGGGTGGCATTCACCACCACTCTCTGGGCCCGGCCATCCAGACAGTTTCTCACCCAGCAAAGAGTCCACCAGTCTAAGCCATAAGCTGACAGCTTCTTCCAGGAGAAGGCAGTGGGCGGTGGTGTCAAAGGTCTTATGGCAGTCTAAGGAGACCACGTCCACAGCCCTTCTCTAATCCACTACCTGGTTGTAGAAGGACTTTGGGTTGGTGAGGCAGGACCTGCCTTTCATGAACCCATGTTGGCTGGGCCTGATCCCCTGGTTGTTGCACACATACTGTGTGATCGCCCCCAAGATGACTTGCTCCATAATTTTCCCCAATACCAAGGTCAGCCTGACAGGCCTGTAGTTCCTTGGATAATCCATCCAACCGTTCTTGTAGATGGGCACCACACTGGCAAGTCTCCAGCCATCGGGGACAACCCTGTTGACCACGACCGCTGATAGATGATGGACAGCAGCTTGGCAAGCACTTCCGCGAGCTCCCTCAGAACCCTCAGGTGGACCCCATCTAGCCCCACAGACTTGTGGATGTCCAAGCGGAGTAACAGGTCACTGTCTGATTCCTCCTGGATTATGGGCGGTTTATTCTGCACTCTATCTGTTTCTTCCATCTCCAGGTGCCTAGTATTTTGAGGATAATTGATCTGAATGTTAAAGACTGAGGTAAAGTAGGCATTAAGTACCTCAGCCTTATCCTCATCCTTAGTGACAATACTACCCGCCACATCCAATAAAGGATGGAGATTTTCCTTGGCCCTTCTCTTCTTGTTAATGTATTTGTAGAATTTTTTTTTGTTGTCTTTTATAGATGTGGCCAGATTGAGTTCCATCCAAGCTTTTGCCTTTCTGAATTCCTCCCAACATTCCCTAGCAACTTCCTTGTAATCATTCCCTAGCAACTTCCTTGTAATCTTCCTGAGTTACTTCCCTTCTTCCAAAGGTGGTAACTCTCTTTTTTTCCCCAGAGTCTCAGCAGACCAGCCTGGTCTGGTCTTCCCCTCTGGCTCATCTTTGGACACGAAGGGACACTTTGCTCCTGCGCCTTTAAGATTTTCTTCTGGAGGAAAACTCAGCCTTCCTGGACCCTGCTGACTTCCACTCCAACTGCTGCCCATGCAAAAGGACACAAGGATGGGGATAAGACCTCTCCCTGGGCAGCGTGAGCAGCGCAGACCCCAGAGCAGCCCTCGAGCAGCACCAGGTCACCCTGGCCGGGCTGCTCATCCAGGAGGTTCGAGTGCCCTCCAGCACAGAGCCGGCGAGGTGCTCCCCATGCCCGGAACGTGGTGCAGAGCGGCCATGCCGAGGGCACAGGACAGGCGGTGGGGACCCCAGGACAGGGCTCAGAGATGTGCGAGGGCTCTG